AGATTCTAATGGAGGCTGCGTATGCCACCTGCAGCGAGCCCCACCTGACCCCCCCAACAGGAGGACTCCCAGGACGCGCTGCAACAAGTGCGATGATGTCACCTGGCTTGTAGCCCATTGATTAGTTCCTCCGGCCCCATTCCAGGAGGTCTGCTCCTCTGTACGGACCTGGCGCTGGGGGGGGGTAAACAATGCAGGAGCTCCAGCAACGCACTCATCACCGTTGGAATGCTCTGCAGGCTCAAATGCCAAGGTTTACTAAATGCACTTTTTTCATTGTATTAACGTGCGTACCTTTGTTAGAATTTTGCAGAACGTGGAGTATGCCTTTAAAGCAGAACTCCGGACAAAGGTGTTCGGAGCCCTTGCAGTGGGACTACCCTCTGTCTTGCAGTCCTCACGCCCCATGCACAGTGTATAGGACCTGAGGGACATACCATGGCTTCAGCGGAGGAGCAGACAGGCTTCAGGGAGCGGAGTAGGATCCAGCTGGCTTCGTGGTTCAGGCGAGTACAACTACAGCACTTCCCAATTTAACACAGACGGTGTTTACATGTTATCACTCACAACACATATCCATGCGGCTTCATCAGTCATTTCCAGGTAGCAGACGGAAAGATGCAAATCGGTCCTTCACATCCCTGCGTCCAGCCTACAGAAACAAGAGCGCTCGCCATTGCCAGCATTCGTCTCTACAGTACGCGGGACTGCAGAATGGAAAGCCGTCATTATACCAAAAACAGTGCAGACGAGTCTGCACGCAGCTGCATCTGCAGAGAAATATTTGTGTTGCTCGTAGCAACCAATCGGCTTTTAACTTTCCTGCACGCACGCCAAGCACCCACCGCGGTCCTGACCCGGCCAATGTACGCAATATGATTAAAGTTCATAGAGAACGCCCATATCTAATGAGAGAACGGGCGTCATGTGATCACAGCAGGCGGTCACATGCTGCAGCAGTCATGTGATCACAGCAGGCGGTCACATGCTGCAGCAGTCATGTGATCACAGCAGGCGGTCACATGCTGCAGCAGTCATGTGATCACAGCAGGCGGTCACATGCTGCAGCAGTCATGTGGTCACGCAGATGCTGCTGACAGTTACCGTGGGTGGCACGATGGGCACATATAAATCGGCCACCACAGAAGTGGCGTATACCAACCATAAACATTCATTATTTACCATAGCAACCATGTTATTGTTCCCTGAAACTGTTGCGGGGGGGGTATTCTCCGGGGGATGTAGGACGGCAACACCAGACATCATGAGACGCTGGCATGTGATAGACAGCCGCACACAGTACATATAAGTGTAGTCATGTGTGCAATCACACGGGTGCTGCTCTCAGACACTGTGGGCGGCATAGGAGGACTGTAAAATGTTTGTCATACGAGTAGCGTCAGCAATACATAAAGCCCAGATGGGCACTGCCAACGCTATATGCCCAGAGTATATAGGGGATGAGTACAGTCAGCAACATGTAAAGGCCCAATGGGCAATGCCAACACTATGTGCACAGAGGATATGAGAAGAATCAGCGATGAAGCACAGGTGGGCACTGCCAACACTATATACATAGGGCACACAGCATACACGGACAGCGTCGGCAATGCTGGCAGAGTCCAGACAGGCTCTGCCAGCACTATAAAGACCTGGCACAAAGCCACCGTGGGCACTGCCAACACTATATGCTGAGGAAATGCAGCATACGCAGGTAGCGGCAGCAATGCATAAAGTCCAGACAGCCGCTGCCAACACTATATGCCCAGGGGATACAAAAGTGGCATCAGCAATGCATAAAGTCCAGATGGGTGCTGTCAGCACAATAGAGACCTGGCACAGGGCCACCGTGGGCACTGCCAACACTATATGCTCAGGAAATGCCGCATACGCAGGTAGCAGCAGCAATGCATAAAGTCCAGACAGCCGCTGCCAGCAATGTAGGTTTAGGGCAGAGTAGTGTCAGCAATAGATAAAGCACAGCTGGGCACTGCCAACCCTATATGCCCAGGGGATACATACGTGGCATCAGTAATGCATAAAGTCCAGATAGGTGCTGTCAGCACTATAGGTAGGGCTGCAACAACTAATCGACATAATCGATTATTAAAAAAGTTGTCAACTTTTTCAATCATCGATTAATCGGCTTCTGGTTAGTTGGCCCTGTTCACGCGCCGCACCTCCTCCCCACCTCACGCTCGCGCTGCCAGACCCGACCACATCCACGCTCCACATGCCGCACCCCATATTCCTATATAGCTAGTGGTATTCTGCATTGCGCTGTATAATGTATTGCTGGAATTTGTTGTACTCCTCTGTAGCTGGTGGTATTCTGTATTGTGCTGTATAATGTACTATTGCTGGGATTTGTAGTCCTCTATAGCCGGTGCCCTTCTGCATTCATTGCTGTATCATTTTTCACTATATTGCACACCCCACTTTTTTTTTTCTTATTTACTTCCACCGCTCCAAGCTCGCTCCTGTGATGGACTACAATCTCAATACAAACTAGTAGTCCATCACTGGAGCCATTTTAAAAAATTTGTTTTATTTTTTTATCCGATTAATCGAACTCAATAATCGGCTAACTAATCGATTTTGAAAATAATCGTTAGCTGCAGCTCTAACTATAGGGACCGGCTACAGGGCCATCTTGGGCACTGCCGACACTATATGTCCAGAGGATACACAAGTGGCATCAGCAATGCATAGAGCCCAGATGTAGCACTGTAGGGATCTGCCCTAGCGCTATCACTGGGCACTGCCAACAATATATGCCCGGGGCATACAGTAAACACAGGCAGCATCAACAGTACATAGAACCCAGACAGGAGCTGTCAGCACTTCAGGGACCTGGCATAGGGCCACCATGGGCACTCCCACAATAAATGCCCGGGGCATACACGATGTATAAATAACATCAGCAATACAGAACGCCTAGATGGGCACTGCCAAGAAGACATGTACAGGGCACACAGGATACACAGGTAGCATAGAGGGCACACCGGCACTACAGAGACCTGACACAGGGCCACCATGGGCACTGCCAACACTATATGCCCGCAGGACTGAGGCTACATATCACTAGCACTATATATTCAGGACGTATACACCGAGTGGCCAGATTATTATGACCCCCCTCCCCCCATCAGTACTTAGTTGGGCCGCCTGGTGACTCCACGAGATGATGAAAGGTGATGCGAGGAATCTGACACGGCGCTGTCGCCCTTCTGTATATAATAATGCGGCCACTCGGTGTAGCCGGCCACTCAGTCGGGCACAGTCGTTTCTAGCTGGCAGCGGTATCGGCTCAGATTGGCACGCCATGTACATTTGCAGCATACAGCTTACCCGGGCACTGCCAACATAATATACTCGGAGTGAGTTAAAGACGACCTATGACCTCCCATTGAAAAAACTAAATATTTCCTTTATTTAAAGATCCATCTGCACTGACAGCTTTCCAT